AGTTGCCTCAGGTGCAGAGCCTAGGGTGGCAGGTGGTTCAGATGCTGCTTCATGCCCTCTCAGGAGGAAAAGAGCTGGACCCTGGAGGAGCTGGGCCAGTGTAACCTTGGGGGCTCTGCTTAACAATTCTCCTGTGTTCTCAGCAGTTAGTAACAAATGAGCTGTTACTCTGGCCTTCAGACTTGGGTCATCAGGAGGCCTGGGTTCTGTCTTTGCTGTAACCAGGAGGAAAGATCAAAGGGAGGGCTGAATGGCCTGCCCTGGGGGTGGTACAGTGTCTTTCTCTCTGGAAAAACAATGGGCCAGGTTCCAGGTCCCGATCTTGTGTCTTCAGGAATGAGGTGCCTCCAGCTCCCAGCCACTTGCATGTGACCACCGGCTTCTATCCTGTGGCAGCACTGCCCGTTGCCTTTCATTTCCTCAGAAAGGACAGCCCTTTGAGAGTTGGGTTTTCCCCTGGTTTCAAGGCAGAGAGCTACATCTGCTTGCCTGTGGAGACAGAAGGTACTGGGGCTGGGGTAGGAGGGGTAGCTGGTCTGCTGGGTGACTCTCCTGCCTGCTCCTGTGAATGAGCTAATGATACAAGTGATTGGGCCAGGAGGGGCGTGCAGGACCTTGGTCTAGAGAGGCATGGAACAATGGACCGAGATGAGGCTTGGCCTTCCACAGAGCTTTGAATTTGGGGACAGAGATGGGTAAATGGAAGACAGCGGGCCCTGGACCAATGTATTTATCTGGTCCTTGGAGGGAAATGACAAGCTGATTTAGTGTTGACTTTGGTCACTTAAAGATATAGGAGTGAGGGATGTTTCAGGACCACTAAGGGGCAGCAGGAGAAAAAGAAGTCCCCTGAGCTATAGATCTGTGATCCTGGAACTATGGCTGGAGTCAGATGCAGGTTCTAGACCAGAGAGCACCACCAGTCCCACTTCTAGGGCCCTTTCCCTCTAAATGGGCAGGGTTGATATTGCTTAGCACCCCCATTGGCTTTGTCCCAAGCTCTTTATTCAGAGCTGAGGATTGTTCCTCAAATGTATTGAATGTAACATGAGGGTAATGATATGGGGTCCTGACCCCTCCACCCCCAATGATAAGAAAAGGGGATTTTCCATAGATCGTTCCTCAAATGTACTGACTATAACATGGGAAAATGATACTTCCTCTGATTCCCTCTTTTAAAGTGATGAGGCATGAATTTTTATATTTATAAAGTGATTTAAGAGCCTCAGGTCCCTGAATGAAAGATGTCAAATGAGTTAGGGAGCCTTATACTGTGTTTATTTCACTTGTATCTGATTTACATATTGTTTCTAAAGGGAAGGGTGTCATTTTGCAGGAAAGGGCTGAATTACAGCTTTTGTGATAGGGAAAGTTCAGTGTCGGTTTTAAAAGTACAGTTTTTAATCAGAAAGGTACTTGCTGTAGCACATGGGCAGCGATTGTTTTTCTGTCTGCCTCTGCTCTCCAGAGATCTTTGAGCTCCTTCTTAGTAGGACTTTTCCAGGTAGACAGGGTCCAGTCTGGATGTCAGGGACAGTAACCCTCCAAGTGTCGGTTTTAAAAGTACAGTTTTTAATCAGAAAGGTACTTGCTGTAGCACATGGGCAGCGATTGTTTTTCTGTCTGCCTCTGCTCTCCAGAGATCTTTGAGCTCCTTCTTAGTAGGACTTTTCCAGGTAGACAGGGTCCAGTCTGGATGTCAGGGACAGTAACCCTCCAAGCTCTGAGAAGGGTCTCTGATGATGTTGGGGACACTAATGTTAGAAGTTGAGACCTGGGTGAGGGCAGTAAAGTGAAGCTGCTTGGCCTTATCAGCAACCATATAAGATCTGGCTGTCCTTGAGGGAAGGGAAATCTAACCCTCCAACAACAGCCTGGCTGTTTTCAAATTTGTATCTCTTTACTTTTCTCCTCCCTCCTCCCCTCACCCCTCAATTTACAGACAAAGCTGTTTGGGTTTTATTTTTTCATTGCAGGAACATTCCTTTTAAGGTGTGGATAATTTCTTACTTGGCAAACTCTTCAGCTCTTTTTGTGGCAACACCTGGCTGAGGAGGGAATGTTGGAAAGGATTCTGATGTTTTGAGCAGGAAGAAATTCAGCCTTTCTGGTCAGGTCTTCTGCTTTCTCCACCACCACCAATCAGAGGCTTCGTATTTGAAAAGTAAAGTGTAAGCTGATTTCTGGGGACGCGCCAGGAGGTGGCACTTTTGGTTATGATTTCCCTTGAGGGAAACTGAGTCACGTTGAGAGTGCACTGGCTGTGGTTTGACTGAATGTCTGTATTGGGGAAGTGTTCCTTTCCTGGGATTTAAGAATGTTTGGACTCAAGTACTGGAAGAGACCTAGGGGTTATACTTTTTCATTATGAGACAAAGATGCAATGATGGAATTTAGGCACCCATGTGCTTGGTTTCAGATATACGCTGGCCTCAGACTTTGAGCTGTGGGATGTCCTGTTCTGCTGCAATTTAAGGAAAAAGTGTGGTTTTCACCCCTGCAGTTCACATCCATAGATAGATGTGATCTGTCACATTCCCAGATAAAAAGGAGGCCCTTCTCCCCTCCCTTTGCTCACATCCATCTTGCAGGAATGGACTCCTGCTCTCTTCCACACTATGGCTGTCTGTCCTCAAGGTTCAATTTAACATCAGTTGCCCTCTGTATAATTTAGTGGGGTCGAGGTCACAGAGTGATATTGGCCCTCTGCTCCTTTGAACGATGGTTCTGAAAGGTAACTTTTCACCCTCCGTTGATGTTGGTGCTTCCACCTTTGGGGTCAGCCACAATCCAGTGTGGCAGTTTGAGGAGTAATCAAAGTCATTGCCAAGTCCTGTTGTGAACATCGAGCTCCCAATTATCCTTTACTCTGATGGCTCCCCAGCAGGGAGTTTGGTATCAGGGCTCTTGGCTCCCAATGTGCCTGGTATTGTAGAAGGGACAGCACACAATTGAGGGCACACAGTCTATATGGACAGGACTTGGGTCCTCAGATTGCTCCTTCCTGCTGCTCCATCCTCTAGAAGCATGGTGGTTAAAAAAAAAAGAAAATTTAAAAAAAGACTTGCATGGTCAAATTCTAACTCAGTGTAGGGAGATGTGATAGATTGGGGGCTTAAATCAGTGTGCACTTTTGGCCATTACTTTCCACGCCAGAAGCCCTGCAGTCAGAACGCACTAGCTATTTCTGACTGCTTCCGTGGTTGGACATGAGTGACAAATGCCTTCTAGCTGGTTCATTCATTCATTGTTTCCTTTCAGTTTTTAAGAGACACCCTGTCACATGAGTTTCTGGAATGTTTCCTTTCTCTCAGAAAGGTCACTCAGCCTGAGTTTTCGTAAGGCCTTGACACTGGCCCCGAGGAGCGAGGGATGCCAGCCAAAAAGGAGATTGAAGGGCCACAAAGAGAGGATTCTTTTCTGAGCTTCTGAGGGGTGATTCATGCTTCAAGATAAAATGTGCTTCCTGGGGCTTCATGGTTTCGTGGCTTGCACCATTGGTAGAGGGCCAGGCCCTGGTGCAGCAAGAAGCCCACCTTGTAGACAATAACTGCAGTTCTTTGGAGCAATGGTGGGGGCCTATATTTAGCCCACTGCCAACCCCATCTTCTTTTTTACTGTTGTCCTTAGACAAACCCCATTTTAGTCTTTGGTCCCTAGGATCCCCCTCCCTCTTATTCCCAATCAAAAGTGCCTTTCCAAAGCTAGAAATAAGGCAGCCAGGGCATTGGTCTTACTTTCGTCTATCTTCTTAAATGTGGATGAAAAATATCATCACTACTGGACAACACAAGCAAGCAGCAGCTCCAGATTTTTAAAAAAAATGTTTTATTGATTTTAGAGAGAGAGGAAGGGAGAGGGAGAAAGAGAGAGAGCAACATCGATGTGAGAGAGAAACATTGATTGGTTGCTCCCCCCCAAGGACTGGGGATCAAACCCACAACCTGGGCATGTGCCTTGACCTGGAATCGAACGGGCAGCCTTTCAGTGCATGGAATGTCACTTAACCAACTGAGCCACCATGGGCCAGGACAACAGCTCCAGATTTTTGTTTTTTAATTTGTGTTTTTGCCAGCCATTAAAAGGTGATGACCTTTCTAGTCTGATCTGTAGAAGCCTTAAAGGTTTCATATAGCCTACATGGTTTTTAGCACATGGTGAGGGCTTATTAAATCATCAGCTGTGGTACTTGGATGTGATCAGATCCCCATATTTCTAGGTCATTGGGCAATGACGCTGTTTGTGTAGGAGCTGATGGGTGGTAAAGGATTCTGCAATGAGAAAACCTGGGATCCCTTCCTGACTCACTTGTATGACCTTGGACAACCCATGTCAGCCCTCTGATACTTAATTCCACAAATGGAGCTTCAGCTGGCTTCAGAACTCATAGCAATAATAACAATAACAGCCACCATTTATTGAATACTTACTATATACCAGGCACTGGGCTAAGCACTTGATATATGTTCTTCTTTCATAGCAATGAGATAGCTACTTATTTATCCCCATTTTACAGCTAGAAAAACTGAGGGTCTGAAAGTTAAAATGACTGCACATGTCCCACAGCTAGCATGCGTCTAAATGGGATTTGAACTGAGATCCGTCTGATTTCATTGTGTTCTATGGATTGTATGCTGGGGAGAAGGTAAAAGTGGAAGTAGTATTAGTTAAGCTATAAGAAGGAGAGCTTATGTGGATTAAACACAGCTAGTTAAATGGAGTTGGAATTCCAGATTCTTATTTGATAAAGATCCCAGTGAATGTTCGGGAAGAAGAGAGAAGTCAATACCCTGCATCGGGGAAGTAGACCAGATAGCCTGGGAGTTACCGTAAGGAGAAGAGACTTCCTGTTTGGCATAGGATGTATCTCATAAACCCCATTTCATTTTGATGCCATTTGTTTTCTCTTGCTTAACAGGCTCTCTGGGCAGCATTTTTCTTTCTGTCACCCTACTGTCACTAGTCATAGCAGCTTATCTTCCCAGATTCTTGACTCCACTCATCCTCCAACCTCATTTCTGGGCCTTCCCCTGCCCGTTATTACAGTTTGGCTGTGGAGACCTGATTATGACTTTGGGTCCCAGGTACACTCTACAAAGTACAGCAGACTATCCCATTCTCCTGAGAAAGGATTTGTGGCCACTGATTACTCCCTTCGAAGGTGATCAACTGGTTCATTGAGATGATTCTCATTTCTTTACCCTTTTTTCTTTCAGGCAAGTTAACTCTGAGGCTCTTCTACCATTTTGAGGTGTTTGTGGAAGAAGAATGAAGGTTGGGGTGGTGGCCTGGAGGAGGTGAGCTGACCCCCTTTGAGAGTTAGCATGATGGGGTACAGTGGGGCATTGTGCTAGGGGTCAGGGGGTTGGGCTCTTGTATCAGCTCAGTGACTCTGGGCACATGACATGAGTTCCTCTAGTTTCCTTATTCTGATGACCGTTTAATCGAGGCAGCTGAGAGCTGTGTACTCTCTACCTCCTAAACTGTGGAAGCACCCCTTGTATCTTGTCTTAAACTTCACACACACCCCTTACATTCCAACTGCCTAAGTGAAGGCAGCAGGGAATTGGTGCAGTGGTGTGTTTTACATTCTGCATTTGGACTTGGCAGACTCCACGGACTGGTTTGGCCCAGGATCCACCCAGGGCTCCAGGACTTAGGGACATTGGCTGATGCTTTCCAGGTGACTCAGTGTCGTGAGAGCGTGCCTCTTCTCTGCTGCCTTTGCTCTGGCCTAAAAGAGTAAGATCACATCATAAACTCAGCTTAGGAACTAACTCAGGGAATCAGAGCTTTTCTGTGCATGCACTTGGGCCATCTGGATTTCCCTTTGAACAAAGCCATTTGTCCAAGGACTCTTGGATTCTGCTATCCATTGATACATCTTCTATTTTCTTTTTTCTTTAAATATATCTTTATTGATTTCAGAGAGAGGAAAGGAGAGGGAGAGAGAGATAGAAACATCAATGATGAGAGAGTCATTGATGGAGCCCACAACCCGGGCATGTGCCCTGACCAGGAATCGAACCCCGATCGCCTGGATCCCAGGTCGACGCTCAACCACTGAGCCACGCCCGGCCAGGCTCTATTTTCATTTTATCATATTCAGAGTTGAGGAGCAAATGAATTCCCACCGAACCCACCAAACTAATCTTTTCTCTCCCTTCCGGCCTTGCTCTTTTCCTTAGTTCTTTATTGCCCTATATCAATTATTTCTTTCCTTTTAATATATCTTTATTGATTTCAGAGAGAGGAAGTGAGAGGGAGAGAGAGAGATAGAAATATCAATGATGAGAGAGTTGTCATTGATCGGCTGCTTCCTGCACGCCCCAACTGGGGATCGAGCCCACAACCTGGGCATGTGCCCTGACCGGGAATCAGGCTGCGACCTCCTGGATCCTAGGTCGATGCTNTTCCTGCATGCCCCGGACCGGTGATCAAGCCCGCAACCCGGGCATGTGCCCTGATGGAATCAAACCGCAATCTCCCGGATCCTACGTTGACGCTCAACCGCTGAGCCACACCTGGCCGGGCTTATATACCAGTTATTTCTAATGGTGGTTACTATACCAATGGGAATGTGAGAGATAATTTTAGTTGGTACAGGGATAAACATTCCATTTTAATAACTATGTTTCTAATTAGTATAAAGAAACATGACTCATTGGGATGTGTTCATAAAGTGACTTAATTTTGTCTCCTACTGTCCCTTTATGTTTTTCAGAGGGATTAGTTCCTTCCCTTCCCTGGGATGAAAACTCAATCAGTCCCCATACCTTTTCTAGTCATTCTCATGCAGTAGAAGGTCCTCTGGCCACTTTAAGTCACAATTCAGTATTTAATGTGTCTAGTCGTTTGTCAGTGGGTTGGGAGGGACAGGAAAAGTTTCACTTGGCCAGCACTGCTGTCTGCCAGCTTCCAGCTTCCTGAGCCCAGCAGGTATTTAATGCCGATTATTTCTTTTGTGTCAAAGTTCATGGTTTCTCAGAGACTCAACCCCCAACCTCCCACCCCTGCAATTGCTGGGACCATTCACTGCTGTTTGTCTTAAAAAGAGCAAATTATCCTCTATTCTAGATCATTGTTCTTTCCTTAGCCTCTAAAATGCAGTGGTTCACCTTCAGCCTCTTTCGACTAAAGTCCTTTAATCTGTCTGAGGGGCCCTTTTGGACAAGGGGCCTCTGTTGCATGTGGCCCATGCAAGTCCAAGGAAACAATCACACATTTTTTGTGGTAACAGTCCACCCCTAGTGAACCTGGGAATGCAGGCCAACCCCCAGCTCAGCCATTTCCCTTGGCTCCTCCAATAGCAAATGGCCAGGTTATGTCTCATACCTTGGGTGTTTCAGGTGATGATCAGATGACAGTGCACCCTGTCCTCCTAGTTGCAGGGTCAGACATCAAGTTTCTGGAGTAGTCCTGTGGAAGCCCCTCTTACCAGCTTGGGAGTGTCAGATCTGTTGTACTTGGTGCCTTAGTTAAGACTTTCAATTTAACCTCTTGTTATATGTGTATTATCAAAGCCATAACTGTCACCCTAGCCAGTTTGGCTCAGTGATTAGTGTTGGCCCTCAGACTGGAGGTTCCCAGGTTTGATTCCGGCGTATCCCTGGGTTGCAGGATGGATCCCCAGCCCCAGTCAGGAGCGTGTGTGGGAGGCAACCAATCTATGTGTCTCTCTCAGATCAGTGTTTCTCTATCTCCTCTCTCTCTCTCTTTCTCTCTCTCTCTCTCCCTTCCACACTCTCTGAAAAGCAATGGAAAAAATATCATTGGATGAGGATTACAAAAGCAAAACAAAAAGCCATAACTGTCACAAGAAGCCCGTGACTTCATGGATATTACTGCTTAGGATAAGGCTACAGTATATACTTAACTAAAAAGGTTAACAACATCTAACATTTATTGAGTACTTAGAATGCCAGATACTGTTTTCAGTACAATAAACACCCCCTTTTATTTAACCCTCATGAGAGAGGTACCTGTATTGTCTCGATTTTACAAACGAGTAAACTGAGGCAAAGAGAGCTTAAGCAGCTTGTCCAAGGTCACAGAGTTGGCAACAGCCCAGATTCAGATGGAGAGAATCTCACCCCAGAGTGTTCAGTTTTAAATCACTGCACTGTCTCTTCTCACAAGGGCGGTAGGCAGCCATGATCAGTCACAAAGGCAGGAGGCGAATGATTGGGAAATGCTGCCTTAGGACTTGTCGGTTCTCCACTCTGGCATTCAGGCTCTCCATGCATCATTTTTACCCGCTTTCCCAACACTCCTTCTGTGCCCTTTACCTGATCCTAATCCACATGCCTGGCTAAGCTGCCAGGCACATGCCCACCCCGTATCTCATATCATTTTCCTGCCCTGACAGCCCTCGTCTGCTTTGCTGGCTCCCCAAACCAAGGTTCTTTGTAAAGTTGGAGCTCATTCTTTGCTGCAAAGGTACATTGGGCCAAAACCACTTCAGCTGGGATCTTTGACTCCTCTCCTAATTTCATCACTGAATTGGCAACGATTATGCGAGGAGCATGCGGAAGGAGCAGTGAAGGCCCTGGCCAGGTAGCTCAGTTGGTTAGAGCATTGTCCCGATACGCCACGGTTGCAGGTTCAGTCTTCAGCCAGGGCACATACAAGAAGCAACCGATGAATGCGTAAGTAAGTGGAACAACAAATTGTTGTTTCTGTCTCTCTCCCTTTCTCTCTCTCTCCAAAATCAATCAACAAAATTTTTTTTAAAGAAGAGCAGTTAGCTAACCCAGATTCTGATCTCTTTCTGCCATTAACTGCCCGGTTTCATCATTTTTAAAGTGTGCGTGTGGATTAGTTCCCTTTAGTTGTCAAAATTCTATGATACGTGCTTACCTTCTTGTCCCTACACCTTCTAAGCTCTTGAGGGCTGGAACTGTGTCTTGTATGTCAGCACCTGCCGACTCTGCCCAGGGTTTGAGGTATAGAAGGTGTTTAATAATAGCAGTTGGTTGGCTGGTGGGAAATACTGTTGTAAGTCAGCTCTGGGCTTGACCAACTTTTAGAAATCGCCTTCTGGGGGATCACTGGTGAGGACTTTGGAGTTGTTTTTTCTGCATAAGTTTATAACAAAAGTTTTGGGTCCAGTCTGCTGCCTTTTTTTCTATAAGAAAGCGAATGTAGTGCTATTAAGACTCACACTTCTTTAGCTATAGTTTCAAAATCCATGACGGTCTAAAACTGAAAGCTTTTCTTTAACTTGCATGTTGGCAAAACCTGACCTGGACTAATGTGAGGCCACTGGTTGTCTGTTCTGCGGAGTGTGAACATTCATAGATGTGGCCGCAGAAATGTCATGTGTTTGATTG